TGGAAAGTACATCTTATGTCATTTAAGTTAAACAGATAAAGAGATTTTATATACAGTACGTACGTATATACGTACAACGTTCATATTGCATTTATTATAAGTCAGTACCGAATTCAAATCGTTTACTATCAGCTATAATACAAACGATCTACTTATATACCTTATTAGTATACCCCCCATTAATATACCCCCATCGGTATACCCCCTTTCTTACAATAGACCCCCCGGGTATAGTATAGGTTTTTGATTGGTAGAATGTAACATACTCGGGGTTTTTATCAGGTGATTTACGGTACGTTGAAAGAAAATGAAGGTACCTCTCCTCGACATGGTTTGTTTTTTTTTCCTTGGTTACAAAATAGTTTTTCTTTCTTGATAGAGCCACAAATATCTGATTCTGCCTATTTAATTCTGAGTTAACTGGTCATTGTTAAGCTTCCTTTACTATTGCCAACAGAATAATTTTCAACTCTATAAAAAAGAACACGCCTGATATACTCGCAACCTCTTAATAATATTGAATGAGAACCAATTAAATGAACACAGGTTGAATCAATGAATATCGGGTACATATCAGGAGACAAGCCTCCTGATATATACCCGATAGTCTGTCATAGATCCACCAAATACCTGCAGTATATCAGCAGCAAATTGGTAAGATAACGCGAGGTAGATCGATATCAGTAATATAATAGCAAAACGTTGGGATACCCTGATATCTTACTCTTAGCACTCTGAACCTAAAAGTAAGATATTGGGTTATCTCAATATTTTGCTGTTGCTGATATCGATCTGCCTCCCGATATCTTGCCAATATGCTGCTGATATTCGGTAAGATCTATGGCAGACTATCGGGTACATATCAAAAAACTTCCCGGTATGCATCCGATATTCATTATTTTGCAAAATTAAATCGATATCATTCCCTGTCTCTGCTTCCGAAGAATACACCAAAATAAGTCTCCAAACAATACTCTAAGGCTTAGATGACACATGAGGCTTGCTTGGCCAAGGGTCATAAGTCCATCCAAAATAAAGTGAGTCATGTTTAAGCCTCTCTAGTCATTTTAAAGTTATTTAAAGGACGTAACTTGGGTAAAGATGGTTACAACACTTACATGCGAGGTAGGGACACATAAGATTACTAACCCGATGATAAACCCCTTCCTTAAGGATATTAACCAAATCACCAACGTCACGTCTCTGACGAGTTGCCTTATTTTATTTTTCTGATGTCACATCCATCCGGAAGTTATCCAATCACCGTATCAATCGGTAGTGACTTCATTCTATCCTGGAATTATGAATTTCACTGTGATACCAGCAAGTAATAGTTTTACCAAGTGTCTAAGTAACTTTCTGGAAATAGTGAACGTAGTAAAAAAAGCTTGTAAGAATTGTTGTTTATGACATTTCAATATTTAACAAGGCCAAGTAGCGAAAACGATGTGAGTGATAAAGAATCTGAAGGATAGCTAACAATAGACGGATTTATAGGACTTATTACTTGGTATATATTTTAATATTATAGGATGTTTGATTTTCATTAAATTTTAAAAACTCGATAGTTAAAAAATTTGAATGGACGACACATGATTAATGAAATTTTTACGTTTTTTCTATACTTTTTTCCTTAGATACTTTCACGCGGACAATTGCGTAGGCCAAAATAAAAATAATACGATAATCAAAATACTTATCTTGGCAGATAATGAATGGTTTACATGACAGAATCACTTATAGCTTCATGGTCTCTAGTCATACAAAATTTAGTCCAGATGGTTTTTTTGGATTGTTTAAACTTAAAAATTTAGAAGCAGATATTTAAAGGCCAGAAAAAAATTAACAAACCAAATAGACGATCATTGTCTATATAAAAAATTAATCAATTTATGATAGATTGTTGTACTGTTAAATACTCGATATGGAAAGAGTAGGATAATTTATGATAATAAAGTTCGTGTTTATAAAACCATTCCAATATATGTGAATGTATCACGCGAAGTTATATAACTTGTGAAATATATATTAAATTTATCGTACGGGAGGGATACTTTAGTGATGTGAATTTTTCCAAATCACTATTTTTCTACCGGTATATACCAGTAGATGGTAATATAGCAGATTTCATTCTGATTGGCTGATTCTTCTACCTATATATATAGTGCAAGTCAACCAGATTTAATAAATCTACCTACTTTATATCATTAACCTCACAGTAGCTAACAGTAGCTACTGGTAGCTACTAATTCACATCACTAAACTAGGGTTCTGAGGTTTAATTTGAGTTTGATTTGAGTTTGACAAACTTCAAATCAAACCAAATTCAATTTCTAAATTTTTCACAAATTCAAACTCAAAGCAAACTCGAATTTGTTTATTTTAAACTCAAATCAAATCAAAATTTAAGTACAAGTTTGGTTTGATTTGATTTCAAAGTTTGCAAACTGTTTGAGTTTGAATTATAAATATATAAATTTATATACAGTCAAACCTCTATAATTGCACCCTCTTGGGACCAGTCATAAAGGATCATTTATAGAGGGTATGCATTTAAAGAAAAATATTTTTTTTATAATAAATTATTATTATATACTATTGTTATTAATTTATATTCATTATTATTAAATTGTTTTATATATTCTTTGCTGCTAAAACTGTATTTCTTTATTACAAACTATATATATATTTTTATATATATTATTTAATGAAAATATATATCTATATTAGTTTGTGCTATTGAACTAATTTTTTTCTTACTAATAAATTTTTCAAGGCTATCGATTAATTTTAGTTGCTTATTAACTTCATCTTGTTGAAGTAAAAACAATCTAATACTCTTTAAATTCTCTAATGCAGCAGTAGCACTAATAATTGGTAGTTCAATACTATTATCTAATTCATCAGAATTATCCATCTCACTTGATTCATTTGTACCTTCAGAATTAAATATATTAACAAGTTCTTCTATAACTTTATTATCAGAAACCTCATAGATAATATTTTTATCGGGAATGTTTAAAAATTCATCAACTTCTATCGTATTTGGAAAAGACAAAGAGTTAAGCACTTCAATAAGTTTGTCACACACAGGATCATTTCTAAAAAAAAAAAAAAAAAAATCAATATTTATTGCATGTATGTATGTACATAAATGTGTACATAATATTTAACAAACAATACAGATTATTACCTAGATTGTATAGAATCAGCACTAATAGGAAGGATTACTGTTTTGCGCCAACAATTCTTTATAATTTTAGCGGTAACTTCCTTCCAACCTTTAATAACATAACGGATAGCCTAAAGGATATCCATCTTCAAGTCTTGAATTAAGTTGTCCCCCTCGACCTGTTTCAACATCCATCTAAAATGTTATAGATAAATAAATAGATAAAGAGTATTAAGTTAGTATAAGTAGCAATTCTAATCATAAGAATAAATGAGGTAATAGCAAAAATAGATTCATAAGTCAGTAAATAAGTGTACAAATCAAATAAATTAACAATTTATAAATTAATGAAATTAGGAATAAGTGAATAAATAGAAACGAATTAAAGAATGTATAAATAAATAAACGAAGTGAATAAATGGTAAATGAGTAGATTGATAAATAATAAACAAATAGATAAACAAGTAAATTAGTGGTGAATTGGAATAATAAACAAGTAGATAAACAAATAAATTAATGAATGAATAAGTATATTAAATAGATAAGTGAAAAAATAATAAATAATAGATTACATGAATAAGCGAATAAATGAATCAATAAGCAAATAAATGAATGGATGAATAAATAAATAAGTGAGCAAATAATAAATAGAGATGAAATGAATAAATAGGTAGATAAATAAGTGAATAAATAAAAGAATGGAATAAAACAGATAGATCAATAAGTAGCAAAATAAATAAATATGTATATGTTGAAATAAAAAGAATACATAAGAATATTAAAGAAATTAAATTAGTACAAATGTAATTATAATTATTATAGGAGCAAATAAATATAATAAAGAAAATAACGAACTGGAAACAAATAAACAATTGAAAAAGTTAAAAATGTATACATAAGTAAAAGAAATTAAGTAAAAAAAATTTAAATAAATTTGTGAGCAAAAAATAAATTTAAATAAGAGTGCAAATAAATAAATTAAATGAATCAATAAATAGAAGAATAAAATAAATAAATATGTGGGTAAATAAATTAATTAAATTAGTATTTTAATTACAATAAAAATAACAATAAATAATAAATTAATATATCTTACTGAAGCTGAAAGCGACGGTAGTGTTTTTTAAAAGACATTATTATCCCAGCATCTATAGGTTGGATTGCTGAAGTAGTATGCAGCGGGAGAAAGTAGACATCAGTATTATTTAATCTTACATCATTAATTTTGTGACTTGAACAATTGTCAAGCAAGAGAAACACTTGTTGATTTCTATATTTTAGTCTTATCTGCCTATTAAATTCCTTTAGCCAATCCTAAAAATAAACTGCAAGCATCTACATCTTAGCATTATTACAATATGCCATAAGTAAGTTTTTGATATTAATATTTTTGAAGCATTATAGGTTAGTATATTTTCTAATTACTAATGGGTTTAATTTGTGAGATCCATCTGCATTTGTATACAAAGCAATTGATATTCATTCTTTGTTTTTTTTATAATCTGAAATACATTGTGTTGCTAGTGTTTTGTCTGGTTCTAACCTGTAATTAAAATTATTTTTGTTTAGTAATAACAATAATAATAATAATAAATAATAATAATAAATAAATAAATAAACTAGTAGAAAAGCCCTGTTTCATCTATGTTATAGATACATTCTAAAGAGTATTGATTACATTTTTCTTTTAAAATTGGTAAGATTTCATCAATTTTAGCATAATTAGCAGATATTGCTTCTTCATGAAGTACTATTTGATGAATTCTATTACGATATTTAAACTTTTGAAGCCATCTATTAGAAAATTTAAGCTGATCTTCAGAAATTTTAAATCCTTTTGCTAGTAATTTGGCCTTTTCAATAATTATTGCATCACTTAAAATAGTTTGATCTTGATAAACTAATATAAATTCTTTAAGTGCAAGTTCTAATTCTAGAAAAGTGACAGGTTTATGTCGTTTAGTATCTAGATTTTTTATTTCTGTTGCAAGATGTTTATCCTTTGTTTGAAGAATTCATGTGATAGTGGATAAACTAACTTTAATTTTCCATTTTTGTTTAATCCATTATATGTATTCAGCTCTAGTTTTTTATTATTATTTTCAACATATTTGCAAAACTCATACTTTTGAATATCTGTTAAAGATTCATGCTTTTGAAACATGTTGATTAAAATTTTTGATACTTATTATCTTTATATAGTAAAAATTATTTATAATGAATTTATAACATTATTTAGTTACATACACATATCTATTGCAAAAATTATTTATATGTAAAAATTAAGCTATAACTAGTGTATAAATAAGCCAAATTTGTGTGTATTTAGCATTATAGTTTTAATTAAAATTTTTTAAACTAGTTCATTTAAAGAGAGTGTTCATTTATAGAGGGTGTTTTAATATAAATATTTTTAAAATTTTTTGCATATTTAGAATAAAGAGAGTGTGCAACTATTATTATTTCCCAAGCTTGGGACCAGAATTAAGAGTTCATTTAAAGAGGGTGTGCAATTATAGAGGGTGTAATTATAGAGATTTGTCTGTACTAAATCAATTTTATATAGAGTAAAATTTTAAAAATCAGAATATTTATTATAATTTTACTAATAAAATTATCAAAAAAAAACAATATAAATCAAAATTCTATTAATAAATAATATTTTTATGTTCTTAAGTAAATTTGTTTAGCATATAAAAATTTGTTATTTTAGCATAGTTAATTTTATTTATTTTAAAATTCAAAGAAAAGATAATTAATTTTGAATTTTTGATCAAAACTCCAAATTAAGCATTTTTCTGGAATAATGTATTTTTATATACTAAACAATTTTTTTTTATATTAGATAATCCTGCCTTTCTTCTTTATTAGAATTTATAGTGACTATTGTTATCTACAACAGTATACAATTTGTCTAAAAGTATAAGAAAGACTTACTCGATACTAAAGTACTCAGGTGCAACTTGCTATATAATTATTTATCTCTGTTAGGGTCTTAATCTATACTTGAAACTTGTTTCTTAACATTACTGATCAGTTGCTAATGCCATGTTAGAATTATATTTCTTTTTTTAAAATTTTTACTTCTTTATAAAAAGCAAATTGAAAAAAAAGAGAAAGTATAATATGCTACCAAAAAAATAAAAATATTAATAAAAGGAAAAAACTAATACAAAAAGAAAAAACAAAAGAAAAGAAAACAGATACTAACAAAAAAAAAAAGAAAAAAGAAAAATAACAAAAGAAAAAATATCGAAACTGATATAAAAAAGGAACAAAAATGCACTATTATAACCTGTGCCAGGCTTAAAAATTATATAACAAATGCAACATTTGTATATTTTTACTATAAAGCTATGTTTTAACAAAAAAATTTCTTCCTAACTATCTAAATATCCACGTGTGGCTTGTTAGGTAGAGGTCTTGTCATATAAAGTAGTGCTATATTCATCAGTAAATAAAATACATGGTTGCATTCTACTATAATATCCCAATTTGTATAGAGTAAACAATGCTGATCTTTTGATGAGGTAAACTGTTTTGCCTACTTTTTATAAAAATTTTGTTAAAAGAGTAAATAGATAATAGTATGTAGTATAGCTCTTGTATTTTTCTTAAAAGAAAGTATATTTTTTTCCAAAACTAATAAAATATATAGAGCCAAATATACTGCTAGTTTTTTTGTCAATAGGTAATAAACCCTGAACTTGTTAGCAAATAGTGTATAAAAACCACTTCTAAACAACAAGTGCTATCTTCACAGTAAGTGATAAGCTCTGGGCCTGTTAGCAGATAGTATATAAGAACTATCTCTAAATAATAGGTGCTGGTTTATAGTTTTAACTAGTCTTATTTTTTTCTTTTCTGCTATAGTTTATTGTTTTTTACAAAAAAAAGTTTGTTGTGATTTGGTATAAGGGATTGTCAGAAAGAGTTGTAAGTTTAAGAGCACTCTTATTTGTATAGTTAACAAATTTACTTAGGATATAAAAATATAATTCAATAGTAGAATTTTAAAAATTATAGTATTTATTATCCCTTAAACCGTATTCCAGGCAAATTTGCCTGGAATTTTAATAAAATTAAAAATTATTAATAATATGGGGTATATTTTATATATACAATATTTTATTTGAAACATATTCTATAAGC